CCATCTATACAGCTGCTCCTTCTATCTATTCCTGCATTCCTCAGGGTTCCCTTTACTTCTAGCCAATCCTTTGTTATTCCAATCCCTGTTACAGGTAATAGTTCTTTATGTTAAATGCTCCCTGTTCAATTTACAGTGTAGTTTCTCTCTCCTGATCAGACTCTCCCAAGTTTCTCTACCAGCCAGATATAGCCTGCTTCACTAGAGGAGAATGATTATGGCCCTACTGAGAGCTACATGCAGGCTGCATGCATTACCTGGCAGGTCCTCGTCCTTGTAGACTATGCAGTGGTTCATGAAGAGTGAGCGTTGCCCCTTAACTTTCCCTGAGCTCCCCGACTGCAAGGGCAGAGAGACATACACATCATATGGTCAGTGCTGGTGGGTAACACAGCCTTGAATGTAATATGAGTGGATGTTTCCAAGCACAGTGATGAGCTCTGTTTGCAGGGAGGGGGACCATGACAGTTACATGGGAAGAGACTCTTGAATCGTGAAGGTTGATTGAGGCTTTGCCAGGAGGGCCGTGGGGAAAGAATATGCCAAGCAGAGGCAACAGGACAGACCGAGGCCTGCAGGCATGGCAAGGCACAGCCACTCTTGGGAACTGTCAACCACATGGACATGGGTGGTAGCCCTTGTGAAGGGGTTTGGTTCTATCCTGCACGGTTTTAAACAGAGTATGGAGAGTGGGTTAAGAAATGATTGTCTCCATGCCCCTGTGCCTGGAGGGGATGAATTCTAACCCAGGACAACAACAATGGGAATGAAAATAATTGAGTTTAAACAAGACTAGAGAATCAGGGGGGTTGGCAGGATTTGGGGCCCTTGAGGGTTAGCTGTGAGGAACAAATGAGACGACGGTTGTGAAAGTACACTTTCTGAATGCTAATATCCTATAATGAAATGAATGCAATTTGATTCTAAACATGCATAATGAGGCTCTATGCTCCTACATAGCAGAATTACCTCAATTGTTAGGCCAGATGACAGGATGGCGGTGGTAGGACCATGCCATAAGGTGGCAGCCTGATCACGGTCTATAATTCTCAGCCTCCCTCCTGGCTCCCCACCTGCCCATCAGTCTTGGACAGCTGATGCCTTTGTATTTTATAGTAAACAATAAGCATTATATGAGCTCGCTTTTACAACCAGTTGCTCAAAATACCAGAATATTAGAAGGGAGTTCTAAAGCTGGAATATAGACTTCATCCTATCATTTTATAGGTAAACTGACACTCAGATCATCAAAGACTTATCCAAGAGCAAGTCAGAGAGAACTAAGATCAGGTGTCTTGGAAAACTGTGCAAAAGCTTTTCGCTGTCATCCTTGCAGGACATGAATCAATGACTCTGCTCGTTGACTGGCACTAGAAAGAAATTAATAATCCAGGGTACTGCAACTCAAGGAAAATCCCTTCAAGATCTCTCTTACAGGGTGGGAGGTCAACGATGGGTCCCATATCCCATACTCAACCGAGAGATCAATCTGTGGCTCCTCCCAGGACTGAGGACCTTCAGCTTCTTCAACACGAACTTTTCTAGTTTTAAGACCAGAAATTTTTGTCTTATGGGTTAACAGTCTTGTTACACACCTCAGAAATAAAGACACTTCATTTATGGGTCATTTTATTGCATGAAGTTAGTTCAACAACTCTGACATGATAATTACGAGTCCATCATTTCATCATCTGTAGCACAATTCAGTTTGGAGGCACCACTAAATTCCTTCCTTTGAATACCCAGAAGAATTGCTTAGATCCTCCGTCAGTCTTAGTCATGTTCTATAGCTGTGACCATTTCTATACGAATGGTCAACTGACTTCTGCTAGGGCAAGGCCTGTGTGGTTTCCTTACATCTTCTCTCCTTAGTGATAATCTCTCACTGTGGATGCTATTCATCCCATTTTCCAAATCTGCAGGGCTGTCTTTGACAAAGTGGTTGCCAATATTCTGTGCCTGCAGGAGGCTGGGGATGGCTCTTGTGCCTCCTGGCACCCCATCTTGCACATCTCTGAGCCTAATCGGAACGCATGTAGGAGGACTCAGAGGCAAGGTGAGAGTGGGTTCGGGAGTCCAGAGAACAATGCTGTAATGAGACTGTCAGCTTATCAGCGACAAAGTTTGCCGTGGGCTGCGCACTTGTTTCAAGTCTAGGTACTTGTATGTGGACACCCAAGGGGTATATCTCTGGTCCCACTTTCTCCTTGTCATGGGGAGAAACTCGAGCTTATCCCAAGAAAGAATCGTCTAAATTTCTGTATAATTTTGATAAAATGCTCCACGAATCAAATAGACTTTTCAAAGATCAGTTTCCCTTACGGCCTCTATCAAGCTAGCTTTTATGTGTTTGTTTCTAGCCTGGCTGACACTTCTCAGCTCAGGAAAAAGAATATTCTCTCTCTCTTTTCTTCATAAAAGTTCCCTTGTGTTTACTAGATATTAGTATCTCATTCTTATTCCTTTAGGGTTCACCTGGTGTTTGGAATTCTTCCTGCTCATTTTAATTATTTATTTATTTTAAGCTGCCAAAATTTTCTTCTGTGCATCTCAGGAGAACTATTTCTGACAAAGCTTTAGCCAGTACTACTGGTTCATTAGGTTTATAGCTCCCTGCTAAGGGCACGGCGAGACCAGCGTTGCTGAGTTCACATTATGTTTCAAAGCTGAATAGATATTTCCAAGTGTTATACTGAAGCAGTGTCCGAACTGCCTATGCAAAATGCAGCCTCTGCTCTTGAAATGCAAGTCGGAATGGGATGAACAATAGAAGCCCCAACACAAAAGGACCGTTCAGGTGACCTGTAATCTGAGTCACTGCTTGGCCACCAACTTTGCAAGGTGGGTCACTGAAGCAAAAACTACCCTGTGCATATAATTATCGTGGTTATGAAAATATTTAGCAAACACACTGCTGGATTTTTTTCCTTTTCTTTCCCATATCATTTGGAAGCATGGTATTAAAATTTCTTTAATGGTTTCCAAACTTGTGAGTGAAATTTCATGTGTAAGGGGGTTTAAAGAAAACAAAAGTTTCTAACCTAATTAACTCCAAATTTGACTCAACATTTTCCCTTTACCACAAATTATCTCGAGGTTTAAAAAAATTTAAATCTGTATACATGTTATGGGAATGTAATTAATCATCTGTAAAACAGATACATCCCAGCAAGACGCTTTGTTAAATTAGTTCATCTTAATCATGATCTTGTTATCCCGCCAGTTTTGCTTGGTTTCTCATTTCCCTGAGTCGGGACTAAATCACTGCGTTCCTCCCACTGCATAATTAGGACTGTTTTAAAAACGATGTAATTACAAACCTCAGCTGTGGATTGTGAACTCACTGCTATGACTGCCATTGGCATGGTTTTAAGTTCTTCCAGAACAGTGGGGTAAAGATGTCATGCTAATAAGTTCCACCACTATAGGTCTGCTATTGATTATCTGCAGCAATTCTAGACTTGGATGGGACCCAAAACTAGACACAGAACCTGGGAAAATGCCAATGTTTTGTGAATCTAAAGGAATCTTTAAGAAGAAAATATTTTTTAAAACAATAAACTATGGAAGAGTTAGTATAAGATTTTAAAATTACACAGCTGCAGGTTAATTTTATAAATGGGTACAGTCTAATCTACTGGCTTCCTGGGAGAGGAAAAGTATTTGGGATAGTTATCCACTCTAATTTTAATTACTTTTTATAGAGTGAAATTAAAATACTTTATGAAAGTGTTCTAAAGCCTTATTCGACAGCTTCTGTGCTACTCACTGCCAGCCCACAGCCCCCTCCTGTACCATGAGCCTCTTCTCAAGTCCAAGTTCCCAACTCCCTCTGCATTGGAGTCTGGAGATGGCAGGTCCCCTTAAAACTAATGCAAAGTCTTCCTCATCCAGGAAGCTCACCGTGATGAGATTTTGGTCATGTCCTTCTCAGTTCTAAATACACAGCAAAAAAGCTTTCTTATGTTTTTTTGTTTTTTTTTTTAAAAGCTCACATACTTTCTCTTTTAATCTAAGGTATTCCTAATCCCCATGTAAACAATTTCCTTTGGAGTAAGGTTTGGTATGTGGAAACTCATGTATCAAGTGGTAAACTCTTATTCTGCTGGTACCCAAGCTGGATTCACTAATTTAAATCCATTATAGCCATTTGCATCGTTTCTTTGTTAAGTCTCTTTAAACAATCAACATGTTTTGCTATTTTATAAATTGCTAATTTGGAAGAAACAAAAAACTGCTTCTCTGTATATAACAAACTCAGAAGCTTCAATCAAGTTCTTGCTTGTAATTATCTAAAAAAATATACACACTTTGATCAAAGCAATTTCCCTGCTATGCATTTCTGGATGTTTGTAGATGAACTGAACTGCTGTGGGAAATGATCCCAGTGGATCTTAACAACTACAATAAGTCTCTTGTAATTTGTTGAAAGCAAGGGGTATTCATTTACTCTTCTTCTTCAAGCTTATAACAAAAGCAAACAGGTAGATTTTTGTTGAGAATCTTCAGGTTGGTAAATCTAAAGGCTTTGAAACTAGATTAAAAGCATACCTCAAACTAAAAAAAAAAAAAAAGCTTCTGAAGCAAAGGACTGGGGAAAAAAGCCAGCTTTGCACAAGCTGAGTTCAGTCCATCTGTTTGAGTGTTTTCAGATAATTCTTAGTCTGTAAGGTTAACAATGGATACCGATAAGAATTATTACTAGCATTGTGACTTATTCTACTCTGTGAAGATGCAGTGAAATAAAAAGAGAATTTAGGAATAGTGAGTTAGTACCCCTCGCTCCCTTTCTTGAATTTGGTTAGTAAATTGGGACATTCGGCTAACTGGTTCCAGTCTGGGTATTGCTAGTTTCTAGCAATATTCTCCTCTCTGCAGCTTTCCAAGAGTAGCTGTTATGTTGTGTGGCAAACGATTAACTCTGTCACCTTGGATTTTGCATGTCTGCTTTTAAGTATGATGGGCTTCAGCCTTGCAATGGAAACAATACAAAAGTTGCCTTAAGTCTTACAGTGCAACAATTTTAATGGTCCCCACTAAGATAGGCAGTACAGTTTTGTAGTTCAACATTAAAAGCAATCTTGCTTTACTTGAAATGCTTTTAGTTAAGACTGCTTGCTCTTTCCCATCCCTTCACTTAAGGTGTAACTCTACAGGAGTACTTGTAAAGTGCATTTCTCAGGCATTAAAAACAGCATTGTGGTTTGCTTTCCAACAGCAAGTTCCGAATCAGAGCATGCCTTCCTCATTTGAGAGGCTGCACAGTTCCAGCTGAGCTACCATCTCTTAGAGAAGTACCCTTCTCACTTCCATTGGCGATACAAGGGGTGGAGGCCACAGAAGCTTTTAGAACAAAATAATTATGCCAACTTCCTCTGTGGCAGGAATCTTCCCTTACCACGAATAAATACTTAATGCATCCTTCAGTCGTGAAATATGGAAAACTCAATTGACACTTCAATTTCCAGGAAGATAAAATCGTGGAGGCCTTGCGTGAATATTCTTATTTCGTGGGATGAGACACCAAGTACAGGGGCGGGTCAGAATTCTCGGGTTTAGCACTGGGGGTTGGGGAGGCGTGGTGGGAAGAGAGACCGTCCTGGAGCGCTCGGGCTATTGCTTGTCGTCCTGGGGGTCACCAGGGAAGCCCGCCTCCTCCGGGGACTTGACTCCCTCGGGGAGCAGAGTGGCGCGCATTTTCCTCTTCTCCTTAAAGCGGCCCGAGCGCGAGATCTTCAGATTGCGCCGGCTGTTGCCCGATTTCTCCCCGCAAAACTTGTCTGGCTTGTGGGGCTCGCCGGCGCCCCCGAGGAGATTGGGGTGCTGATTCTCCTGGGAGCCGCTAGTCCAGTCCGGGCTGGGCGGCGCGGGCTCCCCGGGGGCAGGCTGGGCCGGAGGCTGCGCCCCCACCGTGCCTTCCTTGCCGTTCTTCCTGCTGTTGGTTAGCGATTTCCACCAGGGGCCCGAGCTGCCCGTGCCGCTCTCGGCCATGGCCCGCCGGCCAAGGGGCCCGGGCGCCGCGGGTGGGCAAGAGCCTCGGCGGTAGCGGCCCCTCCCTCCCGGTGGTCTCCGGCGTCCGCTCCGGCCTTTCCCCCGGTTGCTCGCAGGCGGGCTGCGGGGTGGGAGCCGAGGCAGCGGCCTGTGCTGGGGAAGAAAACAAAACTCGGTTACTGGGTTTGTCGAAGTCACGTGCCCCCCAATCCCGCTTCTTCCCCTTCGCTTCTCCCCGCCGCCGATCGACCGGGGTCTGAGCGCCCGGAGCCTCCAGCCCGGAGCCGCGCAGCCCTCAGAGGGCACCGCCGCGCCCCCGAGGCCGCAGGCGGACCAGTGGCCTCCAGGGCGCCACCATCTGGTCTCGAGACGGAGTGTTGGCACTCCCCAGTCTCAACCTTTGCCTCGCCGCCAGGGGAAAGTGCACCAGGCAGCGAGCGAGGGGCAACTGGGGAGACTCCGGGGCATCTGGATTAACCAGGCCCGGGAGGCAAAATGGCCTGTGCTGTCACTCTACCTGACAGTAGACGGACGCCCAAACGTGACCCACCCTGCCCAGAACAACCTCTCCTTGGATGAGCACCTAGGAGGAGGGCACCTGCAAGTAAGCGCGTGCCCGTTACAGGTGAACAATGAATATTAGACCCCTGTCGATCAGTTCCGAAATTTCCCTCAAAGCTTTTTGCACCACAGACTTCTGTCCCAGGATCCTTTTCGATGTGATTCTTCAGGGGGAATTTACATGTCAGTAAGAGCGAGGGACAAGCTCATGGTGTTTTGTTTCTTTTAAATTCTGCTTTTGACATAACTTCTGCCTCGTGACTCAGAAAAGCATGTCTAGGTTTAACTTCCCTTGAAAACCGCCATCCTACTCTTTCTTTCATTCCCCAGAGGCCAGTCATGCGTCTCTTTGAAGTCACCCCCGGCCGATGGTTGAGACGAGGCCAAGCGGCAAGTGTCCTTTTTCCCTTAACTCTGTATCAAAATATGCACCGAGTCTGTTTGTACTAGGCAATTCAACTCTAGAGATTTTTAGTGACAAATTAAAGGCTTCTGATCTTTTCCTTGTGCGGTCCCCTCCTCCAAAGGAGAGAGCGCGCGCAACCAGGAACTCCAAGCCAACTTGCTTCTTCCCGGTTTTTAAAACCGCACTCTGCTGAGCGAAAAGGCTGTTTATTAGCACCTAAGATGCTAACATCGGAAGGCGACTTCTCGGCCACTTTCTGTGCTGGGTCTATCCGGCACTAACGCCGCGAGTGCGCAGGATTCGCTTGCGCCCGGCTCATTTCCAGGTTTCCGCTCGGCTCCTTCCCGTCCCACGCGCTCCGGGGGTTCGCCGGCGCGCCGCAGAGCACAACTTCAGCGGCGTTTGCTGTTACAGCTTCTCCTCCCCGAACCGCGGAGAAAGAAAAGTCTGAGCGCCTACGCGAGGCGGCCTCCGCGGCGCGCAGGGACCGCGGCACCGGCTCCTCCCCAGGACGCCCCGAGGGCACGCTCGGGTTTCGTCTTCGAAACAATAGAAGAAAAAACGGCCAAAAGTTCTTTCCGTACAAAAGGCACCCACACCCTCAGGCACAGTTTGCAGTTGGGTTTGCAAACATCCCCCTCCCTCTACCTTACATATGGGAAGAGCGCCCCAAGTTATTCACTGGCGGCGGTGGTGGGACGTCCTGATGCTTTCTGTTTTCTACCCTACACTTTCTTCTCCACAATCAACTTTGTGTGTAAGGAAGGGATTTGCACGAGTTGCGCAAGGAAAAGATTGCAAACTACGCAAATGTACACAGAGTGCCTGCGGTTCGCAACTTCTCGAGCGCCGGGGGAGTACCCCAGGGTGACACCCCGGAATGGGCTCTGTTTTGGCAGAATCACCCTGATTGCTCACCTGTTCTGGTTTCCCAGGACGCGCCGCGCTCTCCGCCGAGAGCACAGAGGGGGTGCGCTTGGGGCAACCTAGAAGCCGGGCCGCGGCGTTCCTTCGCGCGGTCCTGGGGAGGTCGTGCTTCTTTCTGGAAAGTGTGCCAGCCGAAATCTCGCAGTCCAGCTACGCTGATTGCTGCTGCTGACCTCTCCTGGCGCCTCCGACTTCTGCCCGCCGCAGTGGCGGCGGCAGCCCCGGGCTCGCAGCGCTGTCGGCTCCAACCGGAGGGCGCCGCGGCGAGTGGGTGCCGAGCTCACTGCCACAGGTGAATGCCCAAGCGGGTCCTCCTGCGTAGTAGCCTTTAATTCTCGAGCGCGTCCCTCTTCCCTGCCAGCGCCGCCCGGGAACTGCCGGGAGATGGGACCCCGGCAGCTCACTCCAGTGCATTGAACCTTCCTACGCGTCTGTCCTCGGCGTGGGAAGACATCTGCCCACCTGCTAGCTCCTCGTCAAGTGATTCGGGAAACCTGAAGCCCAGGACAGCGGGAAGAAGACGTAGAGAAGAAGAAAAAAAACCAGGAGGCGGCCACTGCTGCTACAGGTGTAGGTAGGAACTTCGAGTTCCCGCCCTCCGGGGGACGAGATTGGATCAGGTCGCAGACGTGGCGCCAGCCTTGTGGCGTCTGATTGGAGAAGGGCTGTGCCGCGCTGCTCACCCATCCGACTCCTTCTCGAAGAAGAAACCTGGAGACCGGAGGCCAGGAGACAGAGGTGGGCTCTGGAAGATAAATGTCGCCGCAGCTCTCCCTCTGCTTCTACCCTGGTCCCCCCCCCTTCCTCTGTGGGTCCCCACCATGGCTACTCAGATCTGGGGACCCCAAGTTTTGTAACTCACATGAGCGGTTTCCTACCTAGGCAAAATGTTGCAAAGTTTCTGGCGCTCTTAGTTGAAAGGCTGTAATACTGAGTTCTCTGTGTGCCAGCCAGGCGCCGTTCCGTGGATTCACTCATTTATTCCTCACAGCTACCCCAGGAGGTGGGTACTACTATCATGCTCACTTGACAGGCAAGGAGATCCTAGCCCTGAAAGGGTAAACGGTTGCCCAAGGGTGCGTGACTGGTACGTGGCAGAGCCGGATTTGAACCCGGGAGGTCTGGCTTCAGCTCCCGCGGTCTTAACCAGCACGTTATACCGCAGCCTGACGGTCTTGGGCTCTTAACATGATTAAGCGAAGATGTGAATTTCCTTCCCTAGGGTCTGGAGGTCCCTTGGACAGCCACCCCACCCGGGGAGTGCAAACCCAGCCCCGAGCCGCTGCAGGAAGTGGACGAGCGAATTGCTTCAAGGTTCAGGAAGCTTTAGCTCCTGGTCACCTATCGGTGCTTTTTGTTGGTTGGACAGAAAGGTATGGACAGAAGACATTTTCACTAAAGAAGGTAGAGGTGCAGGCTGCTTCATCTTCCAGGATACTCTTCTTTTTCCAAGAACTATTTTGACTTAAGCTGATGTTTAAACTCCTCTGGAAGACTGAGTATGGAGCAACTGATGTCTGAGCATCTGAGGACTTTCTGAAGTATAAAAGTAGTCACAGACATGATGCCCAGCTCAAATAACTTACCATATAGAATTAGGAGAAAGAAATTTTTATAAAGTATTTCAATGCATGTGCTACGATAAAAATATTAATACTTTATATCGTTATCTTCTTAGTTTTAGCGTTCTTGGATTTTAAAATGGTATGCACAGCAGTGTGTATTTGAAAGTGATGCATTTTCCATGTATTTATTTGGATTCATTTTAGAGAGTAAACGTTCTGTGATAGCACCAGGACTGAAAAAAGACAGGCTACTCACTATGAGGATGGGACAAGCCATCGTAGCGTCAGCCCATTACAGGTGAAGATGCGTTACTAAGGAGGAAGGCCCTTGTCAGAGGCATCATCCCCACTAGGAAGCTGTGGAGCTGGTTTGCTACATTGTTTGTTGATCCAATGCGTGAAAGAATGAAGACATTTAGGAAAAGAAAATTAATGCTGCCGAATAGCTCCTCATCATGCGTGATTTAACAAGGGGGCATCATTTTGTTAATAAGTGAACACCTACTAATTGCTGAAATTAAAAAATGCATACCCTTCCATGCCTCTCATTTATATCTAACAACGGAATATTTCTATGTTTCATTGACTTAGTGATAACACCTTACAAATAACCCTTGCATGCAGTGAAAATGTTTAAATGGAGACAGCAAAGCTAAGGAGCAATTAGGCAGAAAGGACTAGGGAGGTGGAGAATGGGTGAGGATTCCAGACGGAGGGAATAGCACGTGCAAAACTTTGAGATGTGAAGGCAGTTGGGGTTCTGAGGGGCAAAGAGAAGGCCAGTGAGCTGAGCACACAGAGTGAGCTGAAACACTGCAGGAGATGAGGCTGGAAAGGTGGTGTGGACAGATCATTCAGGACCTTGTCAGTCATGGTAGGATTTTTAACATAATCCATTGAAGAGGGAGTGATGTGATAAGATTTGCCTTCAAAGTATCGCTGTAGCTATAAGGAGTGGATGGTAGAGGGGACGAGGCCGGGCTGCAGGGAAACCTGTTAGGGAGTGTTGGAGCAGTTGAAGTGGGATATTTTGATGGCTTGCAGTAGAGTGGTGGCAGTGGGGGAGGTGAAGGGAATTAGGTGTATGCAAAAGAGATTTCGGAGGTAGAACAGACACTGTTTCATTTAACTCATACAAAAGAAGAGCCTGGGTTTAAGTAGAGGCTTAAAAGGGAGATACTTTCACAGCCTTCTTTGCAACTAGGCGTACCCATGTGATCCAGTTCTTGTTTATGAGGCCATAGGAAAGACTTCTGGAAATCTGGATAAAGGGCAGAGCCTTCTGAGAGAAGAACATCTTTTGCTACAGCCTTGATTCTTACATGTAAGCAATGTGAGGCTGTGATGGCTGATATTCCAGCAGCCATCTTGCAACAGTGAGGCAGCAGGCGTGGGAATAAAAACCACTAAGCTAAGGATAGAGGTGTGGGAGTGTGAGACGTGTTTGGGTCCTTGATGGTACTGATGAGCCCCTGAAAGAACCCTGGAACCACCTACCTCCAGACTTTGAGTTCGATGAGATAATACACATTCCTGTGATTTAACCACAGATTTAAACACAACTTTCTGTTACTTGCAGCTAAACACATTCCTCTTTGCTATGGTCTATTATAGTTACAGAAAAAAATGATATTGTTCAAAAGGGGAAAAGGTAGTGTTGTCACTTTTTTCTGACCAATCTGAAAAGTTCTTCATGGGGGAAGGAGGATTTAGTGAAATGTTTAAGTGATGGGCAAGTTTTTAGAGGCAGGGAATGCATCTGTAAAATAAGCCATTTTCATTGAAAAGGCTTGAATTTAAGGGAATGAGTAGGTAAAGATATGTCACAGTGCATGGAGGAGCAAGTTCCAAAGGTGAGGATCATCAGATTATCTGAGACATCCTAGTAATTTGACTTTTAAAGACAGAGTTTTAAATCAAAACAATTAAGACTTATTTTCCTCCATTGATTGAATCTAGAACTGTTTTAGTCTACAAAATTTTTATAACCACCCCCATGCAAAAAAAACCCAAAAACCAAAAACCTCACACAAGAAGGTTAGTGTTAGATATAACTGTGTTCTGTAACTGTCGATCTAGGAATCCTGCTGGTTGGTGCTGTAAGGAGGACTTGGCTGGACCTACACTTCTGTGTTGGTGAGCTGGACATCGTACAGTGTAGATGCATTTAAAGTTGATTTATCTGTCCAGTGGATAGCAGATGAATTTTAATGTTACAGAGTTTAAATATGCTCATACTGGGCAATGCTTACATTTCTTAATAATATTTTATCTTGTCATTGTTTATTTTTCAAAAATGTGTTGATGGTTTGAGTAAGAACACGTTACGTCTTTTGCTTTTTTATATTAAACTGCTTCTTTCTCAGCTGAAGGTTAAACCTGGCATTTGCAATCCCAGCAAACCTGGCATTGCATCGGATGCTGGGAAATTGATTATCTTCCTTTAGAGCATTTATAGCGAGAACTGGGCAAAGGAAAGCACACTATGAGAAAATTTAAGAAATATAGCTAATCAAAATGAGGAAAATAGAGGGGGTGCCCCGTAGCCTAGTGGTTAAGTTCAGTGCACTCTGCTTCAGCAGCCTGGGTTCAGTTCCCAGGTGCAGACCTACACCACTCGTCAGTGGCTATGCTGTGGTGGCGTCCCACATACAAAATAGAGGAAGATTGGCACAGATGTTAGCTCAGGGCGAATCTTTGTCAGCAAAAAGAAAAAAAGAAAAATAAAAGAGGAAAATAGAGGTCATTTATGTTCTTTTCTCCCAAGGATAACCCTGGTGAATGTTGGAGTGTTTGTTGTTGTTTTTTCTTTTTTAAAGATTGGCACCTGAGCTAACATTAACATCTGTTGCCAATCTTCTTTTCTTCTTCTTCTCCCCAAAGCCCCCCAGGACATAGTTGTATATTATAGCTGTAGGTCCTTCTGGTTGTGTGTTTTATTCTTTTTGCCCCCTATCTTCATGCTTTACTCCTTTCATACTTTTGCTTCCCTCCATCCCTCCCTTCCTTCATTCCCTTCTTTTATGGATTCTTCCATCCTTTGAGAATTACACGTGTATATCTCTTGGCCTTTTCCTTCATAATCCCCAATGGACTGGTGTTTAATGTTTCTTCTCTCCTTTCTGTGTATTCACCTCTGTGTTGTTGGATTTAGTTTATAAACTTTTAGAGAGAGTGCCCTGAAGTGGGAATCCACTTTTTATAGCATCTCATCCTGTACCCTGTCAGGTTAACACAAATAATAGTCACAAAACGTTCCTGATCATTTCTGTCCACTTGACCTAAGCAAACCTGGTTTGCACAGTGCAGCCTCCCTGAAATTCCATCAACAGCAGCTCTCTCTTCCCACTCCCCACTCCTACTCCCTTCGTGGATCTTCTTTCTTGATATTCTTGGATATTATTGTATGCCCTTCATTTTCCTTAAGAAATTGTAGTAAGGAAAATTTAAGGCCTCAGACAAAAGTCACTTGCTCTAGGAAGGATTTTCAAGAGCTTGGGGCACTACCAGACAGAATCACTTTACACTAAGTTCATGACTTGAGAGTTTTTGGACAATGAAAACAAGAGATTTATGTGAGCCCATAGTCACACCCTCTGGGGACAAGTCCCTTTGTTATTTCCCTCCCTACCTCTCGGATCTTTTCTGTTCCTAAGTAACTTGATTGTCCATGTAGACCAGTGGGGAAGGCAGGAGTATAGTTTACTTGTGGGCTGCCCAAACCCTGAGGGCATGGCCCTTTGGGGCCTACACTTAACATTACAGGGAAGGCTCTCCTGTTAATTGCTCTTCTTTGGGTGAACCCTATGCCCTGTCCCTTTTTCTCCAGGAGGCTATCAACACTGAAGTTGTTTGGTACCCAACTGTTTTCAGCAGGAGAATTCATCCAAATAACCTAGCTTGCCACTGACAGGAATGAGTGTGTTTTAATTATTGTGAATTGTTTGCTTGGTGTTTGTCCCCATGACTAGACTATAATTTTCTTGTTTATTTGTTTATTGTCTGACTCCCTCACCAGAAAATGAGTTCTATCTTATTTAATGATCATTTGCATAATGTTTCCTATATACCAGGCACAGTTCCAATTGCTTTATAAATATTAACTCATTTAATCCCCTAAAAGCTCTGTGAAATAGGCACTATTATTATTATGGATGAGGTCACTGAGACACTAAGAACTTAAGTTACTTGCCCAAGGTCACACAGCTGGTAGGTATCAGAGCCAGCATTTCACTCCAGGAAACTGGCTCTAGAGCCCAGGGACCCAATGAATCACTGTGCTGTGTGTCTCTCCATGAACAGTAGGCCATGTCACTAATGAACCTTTAGGACTTGGCCTGCTGCCTGGCAACGATCGTTCTTCATATTGTTAAATGAGTGACCACCGGATGCATAAACATGAATACTTTGTTGCTTATAATATGACTGACTTGTAAAAAGAAATGTAATAAGGTGCAATGGCATAAAATTTCAGTTGGTCCTTACATGTAAGAATAGCCTGATGTTCTTTAATTTTGAGATGTGACCAGTAGGTGGACCAAATTATCTGATAAATTGTTGTTTTTGTTGTTACAAAATTGGAAGAACACTGTTGTGTTGCAATATCCTTCGGAGGAGGTGGAGTTAGGTGGTAAGATACAAGTGGGGCAGAATAACGCAACACCAGAGGATGGCAGCTGAGATTTTATTAAATATTACACTTAGGAAATAAATGAATGATCTAGAAGACATAACACTTTGGTACAAGTCTCCATGGCATATCCTGACTCTCTCAGGAAACAGAGATAATTTAAATTTATTGTTAGGAAATCATTGATGTAAATAAAAGTCATGTGTTACCATCCAAGGTAATGTTCTCTGGCTGGTCACCTGGTTCCAGGTCAGGGCTGGACTAAACTAGCTCCTTAAAAGGTGACCTGCTATCTGCAGTTGTTCATTTCCCTTTTCCAGGGGTTGATTGGGTTATGCTTCATTTGCCAGGTTGTTTTCTCCTCTGTGGTTCGTCGATGTGTCAGCTCATTACGTCACATGTGTACAGGTGGAAGGTGGATATCTGATGGAAGGGTAACACGATGCAGGAAGTGAATCTTTTCGTTTCCTCACCTGCACCAAGGCCAATGTCAAACTTGCATAGTTAGAACTCCATAAGAAATAGCTGCTTTCGCAAGTCACAGGCCATCAGGGAAGGTGCACTAAAGTTTCGGGGCTCAGCTCTGCTTAGTGCCAACACAGGTGAGTGTCACACTCTACATGCTCACTTAGTGGACATTCAGGTTTATCCGTGTGGTGTAATTTCATTTACATACTGGGAGAAACTGCTTTGGCTGCAGTTTACCTTTTACCATAATGGCAAATTTAAATTTCTTGCTACGGGCTTTTCACTTTGCTGTGGGTTTATCCAAAAGTGGATAGTGTGTTGCCCACTTTTTAAAAGGCAGAACAACCCTGAGAGATAGAACTACAAGTCCTGTGGTTTTGCCTTAGAAAGTTGAGGCAGTTTGCTCAAGGTCACAGGACCCAGAAGAGGTGGACTTATT